GAGAGAGAGAGAGAGAGAGAGAGAGAGAGAGAGAGAGAGAGAGAGAGAGAGAGAGAGAGAGACCGCTTTATTGACGAGCAGATTTTTGTTGATGAGTAATAAACGTAAAATTATATATATTTAAACGAGTTATTTAAATGAGAAATATGTGATACAGGATGCTATACTTTTAGCATGATATTAGAGGATTTAAAGTTTGTGTATTTAGAGGATTAAAGTTTGTGTATTTTCGTCGAGGAAAATTCACCTCCAAGTTGGCTGAAAAATCCTTCATTAAAAAATGATAAGTAGAAAGGGGATGTTGTGTGTAATTTAAGCGAGGAGATTCAAATGGAACAGTAATTCAGTTTCGTTCGTTGAAATTCTTATTCATTATTCAAAAAGACGGCGAAACGCATCTCAACTCGCAGATCTCAACGGATGGCGTCTCGAAAAATTAAAAGCGTAAAGAGAGAAAGAGAGAGAAATAAAAAAAGACGAGAGATATACCCCATAGGTAACCACGACGGTTACCTTCTCCCTCGCCATCTGTTCGTTGCAAGCGAGACAGCGTTTTAACGAAATACAGCGGGAAAAGTGGAAGCGATAGGGACGCACGAGACAGGTAGGGTGAGAGCGAGCGAGCAACCCCTGCGGCTTAACCAATCGGGTCGGTCTGACGCATTCGTAACGCGGATTTCAATAATACACGCGGCGAACGCACAGAGGAGGGGATACCCGTTTCGACTTCACGGTCCAGTAATTAAAAACAAATGGACTGGGAGTAACCATGGTAACCACGGCGGCGGTCAAAAAAAAAAAATCTCGAGACGCGCGTTCGAGAGAATTCGCGACTACCGTTTTTCTCCCATTGTTTGAATGTGGTTTCTCTCTTAGAGTCGTTCTACATTAGTTGCAAGGTCACAAGAAAATTGACCAATCACAGTCAATTCTTCTTTGATCATAAAAAGAACGATCGACTATGATTGATAAATTTTCTTACGATCTTGCGATCTACAACTAATGTAGAACCGGCCTTAGATCACATCTGCGGGTCGTTGAATCTTCGAAACAAGCCGTGTTATCGCGCAAAAAACATCCTCCATCTCACGATGAGAACGATGTTATGTTCAGTAAAGATTAAATAAATTATTAATTAATGTATAATTAATCACATCAAGGTTTGATTAAAAATTTATTTCGTCAATCGATAAAATTATTTGTGATTTTGTGGTATGACAATTCATATCACAAAATCATTTGCCGATTACTTTAGTCAAAGAAAACCGATAAAGACCCAATATTAGTTACGACTTACGAAGTGTATAATAAGATGCATTAATAGTGTCCTTCCTGAGCGTAGAAGGGCGTTGACATGCACGCTTATAGATTGATAGATACGTCGGGAGTCTAGAGATGGTGCGCACTTTACTTTCTACACTCAGAGGGCACGCCATTAATGCGCGTAACTGTACATTTGCGCGTTTTTCACTCGTGTATCCTGCAATGTTGTTTGATACAGACCAGAAACATCCTTTATGTTAATTGTGTTAATTAGCTGCTCTTGCAGGATTTATCCTAGAGCATAATAAAGTAGATTGTATTCTGAAAGAAAGGAGATCGCGATCGATACTCCCGCAGATGTAAAAATCTTCATGCAAAAGAGCTTGTCAGCGTATCCTGCAATCTTATTTGTTACAGACCAGAAGCACCCATTACTTTATGTTAATTGTGTTAATTGTAATAGTGTTAATTAGCTGTTCTTGCAGGATTTATCCTAGACCATAATAAAGTAGATTCTGAAAGAAAGGAGAAGAGAGCAGACGGCCGGTCGGTTCTCGCGATCGATACTCCCGCAGACGTAAAAATCTCCATGCAAAAGAGCTTGTCAGAATCATGTGGTCGGGGCAAATGAAACCTATCGAGTGAAAGAGATAACCGGCCGCCGCCGTTGCTGACGAAGGGAAATCGGTGTGCGACCGACC